ACACACACACACACACACACACACACACACACACACACCTACCTTATATGCATAGTTTTCAATATACTGGCCATCATAAATAACAGTAAAGCATAGTACTATTAATTTACAAGATTATCCTATTTAAATATTTATAGTATAATTAAAGTAGTCTGAATATATTACCTAAAATGTGTAATGTAATGGATTGTTACTAACTACAATTTTTGTCATGTAATTTGAAATCAGTAACGGACTACAATTTTCAAGTAATCTACCCAGCTCTGTATATATATACAGCTTCTAAAAACTTGGTTTAAAGTACCTTTGCAACAACAAAACTATAATGTAATGCAGTGGAAGATCATGTTCCATCCATGAATAGGGTCAGTTAACACCCACCGCAATGGCTATTGCGTGATAGCCTGGTATACAGACATTTCTGAATGCTTCCTGAAAGCATGCACAAGATTATAGTGGCGATGGCTTTCTTTCATGAGGATATATCATCAGACATATAATACGACCTAGTGAAACATCTGAGCTTTATGGATAGATCAAAGATCAGCACAAACACAAAGACCTATTACTAAACGGCAAAGGACTGTAATTTTTGCATCTTGTCAAGCTCTTCTGAGAACTCGGGAGATTATCTAGTAACTCTGAAAGGGCTCAAACCATAAGACATGTATGCGTGTGTGTGTTCAGCTAGAAGGAGCTTATCAGCATTCATCCGTTTCAATTCAAGAAGATTTTCTGATGCTGCAAAATCGGGTTCAACAGCCATGACCTTAAAACTTGTAATTTAGCAACCTGCAATACAAATTCAAACATATTAGATGGTGAGACCCCCATAGACAGACTCACATGTTTTTGACAGCCATGGCATCCTCAATGTTGCCTGAGGCTAGGAGGGTTTTGATGAGGGTATCATATGGAGCAGGGCTGAGGACCATGCCCATGCTTTCTGCTTCCTTCAGGATGTCATTGGCCTCTGAGAATCAGAAACAACAGGGGTAACGTAATCTACTCAGACCACTACAGATAATAATGCATATGACCATCCTTTAACCATCCTGAAAATTAATCTCGAGACAGTCACACTAACTTTTACTATAAAGCTACTATGAAGCAATTTTAAAGCTATTATATATAACTATATAAATAAACATGACTTTACTTAATCTAAGCCGAGAGCTACAAATATATTATATTAATATATTAAATATTATATACACAATATATACATATATTGTATATAATGTTTTATTTAGATTTTTTATATTATTATACCTTTTCATTTTTATTTTATTTTATATTTAATTTAATGTATGTATGTGACTATGTAACGTTTTGCTGACTAGTGGCTGAAAAATAAAACTACAAGTTACAACAGACAAAAGTTACAATTACAAAAGTTGAATAGCGCAAGAACGCCATTTCCTGGAAAATCCGTCCTGACAACTCTATGGCTTACCATAGTGATTTAAGGGAAGTTACATAAAGTTACATAGAGAACTTACCTTGAGCTTTGCCCTTCTTGCAAAGAGACAGGAGTTTAAGTCTGTAGTCATCAACTGTGGCCTCTTTAGGGGGTGAAGCAGCAACCCTTTTACGAGGGGCAGCCTGAACCATGGGGCTAGATTTGATCTCTTGCTCCAAAAACATCTCAGGCTGACCTTTGACCTCCTCAAACCACACCTACACATAAAACAGCCACATCATTACACCATAATGCTTCTTTAAATTCTGGATATTAATTCAAGTTTAATTAATTCATGGTTTCCACCTGCTACAGAGATTATAAGAAGCAGGACAATAAGGACTAAATGTATCTATAAAGAAAAAGTTCCAAGTACTGAAGGGGAGTGGTTTTCAACTGCCTTTGTTTTAGGATTTGTGTAACAGATTTTATATTGGACATTGAATAGGTTCTTTTACCTCAGGCACCTCGAAAGGCACCTCCTTGTCATTGTTTTTAAGGATATCAGCAAGCAAACGCAGGGTCCTCTCTCTTGGAGCCAAATTTTCCTCTTGCATTTTCATCCAGGTTGCCTCAGCCTTTTGCCAGTCATTGGTCTCCTCTGACAAGAAAAAAAAACAATGTCAGTGCAAAGTAGTTACGCTCATCCACTGTTTGCAGTCTCCGCTCCAACACATGAGACTTACTGCAGAGGCGTAACAAATAGTGGTACATGTCATCTCTGTCACACTCGAACAGCTTGACAGTCATGTCCACCATGTTCTCAAGGGGCTCCATCTGGGGAAAGAGAGATTCAAACAGTGATACACACTCTATTGATCTATAGCATATCACTTTTTCAGACAAAACGGCAGAGAAACACTGACCTGTTGGGCTGCAATGCATTTCTCTGCAAACCACTGCACACGGGTTGGTCGTGCCCTTAGACCAGGAGTCTGCACATGGGTAAAAAAAAGAAATGTATGAGATCTCAACAAATTAAATTGGTGCAAATCACAAACACTGCACTAATACTATCAGAGGGCCCAGTGGGCATGAACAATCATGAGAAAGGGCATATCAAATGCAAAGTATAAAATTCACTAACTGGTCAAGTTATGCCCAGGTCATCTCAAAACCAAACCAAACACCGAACAAAACAAAAGCAAACAAAACTAAACAAAACCAAATCCAACACAAATCGAAACTTTACAAAAAAACAAAACCAAATCCCAACCAAAACACAAAACAAAACAAAACAAAAGCAAAAAACAAAACACAAAACAAAAAACAGAAAAAAATTCAAACAAACCAAAAAAAAAAAAAAACATAAAATAAAACAATTTTGGGGTGGTACAGACAGAACATAGATCTAGTTGTACAACATGATTATTTCTCATATAAAGCACTGAATCATGATGCTCTGGTGCACCTACAGTAAATGAGAATCTTCACACACACACACACACGTTTGTTTTTGTAAATTGTGGGGACATTCCATAGGCGTAATGGTTTTTATACTGTACAAACTGTATGTGCTATTGCCCTACACCAACCCCACACCTAAACCTACCCCTTACAGGAAACTTTGTGCATTTTTACTTTCTCAAAAAAACTCACTCTGTATGATTTATAAGCGTTTTGAAAAATGGGGACATGGAGTAATATCCTCATAAGTCACCTTCTCCTTGTAATACCTATGTCACACCCATGTCATTATACAAATTTGTGTCCTCATGTGTAACAAAAATGCGCGCACACACACACACACACACACACACACACACACACACACACACACACACACACACACACACACACACAGATTTCTAAATTCACATTGTCTCTCCTCTTTGGAGGATATTGCACCAGCAGCATCCAAACAGAATTACTCTGCAGTAAATCAGCCTCCAGGCCAAGTTCAAAATCACTCCAGCCTTCCTCAAGCCTAATCTGCTTAGCAAATAAGACCAAAAATGACCGCTACATAGTCCTAGTCTTTTTTTGTGTTGCTATAAATGTAGGAGCAGCCCCTGGGCCTGATGCATAAAGCCCTGTGGGGCAAATCTTCCCTTAAGTAAATCCAGGATGATGCACACCCCCACTCCTCCAATCGTCCTATATAGAAGAGCAAATCAACACACACACACAAATTCATTTGACCCAAACAAACAAACACACACACACACACACACACACCACAGCCAATACCCAAAAAGAACATCTAGGTCAGATGATTAAGAGTCTTCAAAGACAAATAGATGACAGATTTTTTTTAACACAACACATGGACACTAAACAATAAATTGATACATTCTTTCTCTATCAGGATTTTAGCCTTATATAGTCAATAAAAATGCTAGAAAATATAAACTAACGCCCTGCTTATGTAATTTTCTGTCATTTCTGTCAAATTATCATTTTCTATCCTGAAGTCAGAAGTTTTTATGAAGAGAGCAGGAAATAAGTCCTGAAAATCTTACAAAAATAAAGCAAAAAAAAAAAAAAGTGTATTTTTTCTGTGTAGTTTGCAACACTGTTATTAAAATGTAGGATATACATCTTTATAAACTTATAGCAAAAAAAACAAAAAACATTGAAATAAATAAAAATAAATAAATAAATTAAATAAACTGTCAGATACAGTCCAGAAAGTCAAGACTTCTGGCAAATATTTGAGACACTTAAAACTATTTTTTATGCTTGCTTAATTTTATTAATGTTGGATAGTTTAAAAAACATTTAATCATTCTCACCAAGAAAAAAATCAAAAAACTTTGGGTTTGTGAGCCTAATGCTTCACAAAAAAGGAAACCAAAGTGTTCCATTTTCATGACCTTCACAAAGATACAGTAAACCAAAAACTCCCCATTCATTCAGACCTTTGAGCAAAAACCCCCATCATCATGCTGAAGATGCCATCATTCTCTCAAACACAGGTCACACACTCCATTTTAATTACACCAAAACCTTAACCAGCATTTCACTTAATTACCACCATTATTAATAATCTGACAATTATAGACAGCACAATCACCTCACCAGCACTCCATCACTGCACTTAAAGTTTCTATTAGAGAGTGGAGTAGAGCTCTGTATCTGCTAATGCTACTTAGATATCAGTGTTTTTAATTATCCAGCTCTGGATGGAAGAGAGGATGTGTGGAAAACGCTCCAGGGAACGAGTGGGGCTTTTGACCTGTCAAGCACAAGGATGCTCGACGAGCCACCATTAAACGCCAACTTTTAGAGAGTTTATAGCGGAGGGAATTCAGAGGTATAAAACTATTGTAACTACCAGGTGTAGAAAGATACGAAAGAGCTTTGTTTTCAATGATTAATAGCAACTCTAATCAAATACACTTCCCAATCGAGCCAATCAAGACTTCAGGATAATATAGATCAAATGGCTTACAATATTTACTCAAACAGAACTGATTTTAAAATGGACACAATGAGCAAATATTGTGTACAACTACAGATCACCTGAAATTCAATCCATTTCCAGCAGTGCTTAATCATTTTCTAGTAAAATACTGCAAGACGTGGCATAATAGCAGCCAATCAGAGAAAATACTTTGTTTAATATAGTTGTAATGAGGCTGGCATTCAGGAATAAAAACTATGTTGCAGACAAGCAATAAGGATAGGTACAAGTCATCTCATCACCGCTGCTTAAAAAAATGCATGGAAGAGATGCCAAGCCATGATGGTTATGAATTGATATAAATATCAAAATGACCAAATACCAGTGTTGTTATTGTAAACTAAAATGATTAATTATTGTTTTTGATAACTGAAATAAAGCTGCAAAAATATATACAAACATAAAATAAAAAACTAAGGAAAATGAGAAATGTTGCCTTAGTAACTTGAAGAAATAAATTTGTTGAAATGCAATAAATGTTCATTGAAATAAAAATAAAGCTATATAAAAATATACATAAACCCAAAAATGAATCAAATAACAAAAGCACATAAAACTAAAATTAAAATGAGAACTGAAAATATAAAAATACAGCTAATTCAAAATATTAATAAAAAACTATAGTACTACTGAACATAAACAATACCAAAATAGCACTTCCAAATAGCAGCTAATGTGTCACCTGGACAATACAATGGTTTATTAATACTATAAATCAGTAAAGTTAACAAAATGAATAAAAGTGTTATTAATGAATAATGAAAGTGACCTTTCTTTGAATGTGTGTATTGGTTTAAAACAATGGCTACCTAACAGACATCTACACTGCACTATTTTATTATGTATTAGTCATGCATCATGAATGATTTTAAACTCATATAACACTGGAGGTTGTCCGAAGATGGTATAAGAGCAGTAGTGGATTGGTAAGTTTTAGAAAAAGAGGGATTTTAACTTGCATCCCAAATTAACCTCTCAAAACAATGAAAGTCAAAGCTGCTTAAGATCGCGGTATCCTGAGGTGACCATTGATAGCTTATCGGCTAAAGTACTGTCAAAGAGGAATTTCTATGATCTGGTCGGTGTATATATGAAAAATGGAGCCAAATGGCATGCTCTAGATCTGCGGACACTGGTTGGTTAAAAGCCCTGACTGATGGATCTGTAATATCCAAGCTTAGGCTTATTTTTCCATCCATACTGACAACGATACAACAGAATTAGCAGAGATGAGGGTTTGTGGAGGACAGATGCAGAGAGACAAGAAAAAAAGAGAATGCTGCAGAAGGTTGGAAAAATAAAACTGCACAGAAAGGTGAAACAACCTCAGACAAAGACTATGCATGATAAACCGGCAAGAAGTGGCTTGACTGGCGCTGACATTTCGCCGTACTCCCACATGGCAGCACTGAGGGAGTTGAGTGGTGTCGTATTAGAGCAGTTGGCTAATTGAACATCTAAATGGCTTTGTCAGAGCTGTTTCGCAGTGGAAGTGTAGACTCGTGAGATGCTGTCTTCTGAAAGAACAAGACAGAACACAGCCTAAAGATATCCCCAAAAGACCCATTCTGGACGAAGCGCTCAAAACACGTCAAGCGTCTCAAAATCAGTTACTTCCCGGACAGAGCGCTCGCTAAAGGTCCTGATGAGTGAACAGAGACATGCATGTGTAGACGTCTTTTATTGTCTGGAGAGACTGAGCATCGGAAATCCATCTGAAATGTGTCTGAAAACGTCACAGTCCTGAGACAGGATGAGAAGTTCTGCTGCCGGTGCTACTTTAAGCAGATGCTATTCTCATTCAATAAAGATGGCCCTCTGGCCCGAGGACAGTGTGAGAGCGCTATAACTTGTACATGGATTTCGCATTTCAAAATGATTTATTTTTTAACCTGTTAGCTAGGTAAAAAGCTGTCTGGAATAGTTTTGATTGCAAGAATTACTTGTGATAGTCTTGGTAACATCAGAAAGAACTGGTTGAAAACTGCAAAGCAATTAGTATTGCTTCTGCCTTACATTACATAATATATTCCAGCTATTATTGCAAAATTTGTCAGTAAATTAAATGTATTTATTTAAAAACATTTAGTGAAAACATGCACATGTATATATAAACAAAACTTAAAAGGTCACACTTTATTATAAGGTCCAATTCTCACTATTAACAAACCATTAACTATGACATTCGCCTCAAACTCCTAATTTGCTGCTTATTAATAGTTAGTAAGGTAGTTGTTAAGTTTAGGTATTGGGTAGGGTTAGGGATGTAGAATGTAGATGGTCATCCAGAATATGTGCTTTATAAGTACTAATAACATACTAGTACTATACTAACAGCCAATATGTTAAACGATTTCATGTTTTCCTTTGTCTTTGGAGTGTTACAAGCTGTTCGCACATATATAAGATCTGTAAAGTCACACAGATTAAAGTCTCAAACCCAAAGAGACATTCTTTCTAAAAGTTAAGACTCATCCACACCTGAGCTTTGTAAAAATCAATGCGTTTCAGAAAGGCGGGGCAGAGAGGAGCAACAATAATGTATGGTATGTGTAAAAATGTTTTTTGAACCTTAAACCTTAAACAAATTGCATTACATCAAATACACAAAATAATATTCCTTTTAGCAATGTCATATGACCCCTTTAATAATAGGCATGCTAGCAAGCAACTACTTAATAGTGAGAATTGGTCCCTATACTAAAGTTTTACCACTTAAACTACACATTTAAAAATATAAATGCAAAATTATAAACTAAATAAATCCAATTCAATACATGAAAAAAAAATTTGAAAATTAATATGAACCAGGCACTCAGTTCTTACTTTGTTGTTAACTTTTGTCATCATTTTCTGTTTCAAATGAAAATGTCTTTATCAAGCCAAAGCCTTGTAATGACATTTAATAATAATAGCAATTGACTGAGTGCATTGATTCAATATAGTGACAAACAATATCACAATACTTCAATTTTCCCAGTAAGCTTTGTTTAAAAAACGAGTGGTCTTTGTAGTCGTCGTTTTCTCCTTCACACTCACACACACTCTCTCATCCTTTGAAAAATCATTGTACCTATTGTCTTGCTTGAATGGCATTAGTGTGGCTTTGGAGCCAATCTAATTTAAAAGTGGAAATATCAGTGTGGCAGTAATTAAAGCGGTTAAATAGCTGTGAGGTTTGAACACAATAACAGCAGTCCCACCTCGATGATTTTGCGTGCCTCCTTGTAGCGGCCCGTTTGCAGGAACGCAAAGTAAAGGTCGTAGAGCATCATCATCTCGCCTCGCTCCTGACTCAAAAACTCCATGACTGTGAAATGAAAGAGAGAGACAAAACAGTCACATTTGTGTACTCTGTGTACATTGTCTCTATTCTATCAACCTTAAAGGGTTAGTTCACCCAAAAATGAAAATTAGCCCATGTGTTTTTGTAAGAAAAATATCCATATTCAAAACGTAATAATCACTTTAATGTAGCTTGCGCCAACAGTTGTACACGGAAGCAGTTCCGGGCGGATGATGTATGAGGTCAGCGTTGCGCATGCACCAGTGAGTCATGTGAAAACCAACGTTTGTTAACAGGAGCAAAAGGAAGCCTTTGTTCACCCCCCGGAGCCGTGTGAGACACTTTTTTTTATGGATGGGCACATTTTATTTAACTTCTTTTGAAGTAAGTCATATACACCTAGGAATGTCTTCAAAAAAGTGCTTTCAGCAGCCCGGCATTTCATTAATAACAAGTTTATATGAAAAATAGAAGCTATATGAATGTCTGGCGATATTTTTGAAAACATTATTTTTAGATTTAATCTCTGGTTCATATAGCTACCAATAATCTCTTTACTTGACAGTATTGCTTAAATGCTATCAGATTTAACAGATGCCTTGTGAAAATTCCCTTTATTGTCACTTAATGGCAAACAGATCTGGACTCTTTGCTTGCCACTTCAGAACGGTCGAGAGAAGCCACAGCAACACAAAGAGAGTGAACTCCTGCAGGTATATGTACGTTTACGTCTATCAATGGGTTTGCTGTGGCACATTCAGAGTGCTGGGTCATTGGGGCCGTAAAGTGGCCCTCCATCGTAGAGGTCTCACTGCCTTAACACTTCAAATCCACTCACCCCCAACACACAGCGCACTTAACCCCTCCACTAACCCTGACAAAGACAGAGACTATTGAAACCACCATCATATCTAGGTTGTCCAACCTGCCCTTTAGTGGGTGGCACTCTTGAAAACACCGAACACACACTTTCTACATATGACCATCTCAACAGACAGCACACCAGAACACACACACACACACACACACACACACACACACACACACACGTAGACAAGTAGACAAACAACTTGTGACTAACAAGTGACACACAGAAATGTAATTAATGTGCTGTGTGTGTGTGTGTGGGTGGGTGTTACACACCTTTCTGTAACAGCTCGGCATCTCCATTTTCCACCAGGCCACAGATGAGGTCGTGGATTTTGGGCATCTGGTTGTATTGTTTTTGGACCTCCACAGTGGCATCGAATGCACCCGCATAGTTCTCACTGTAGAAAAACATGACATATTACACCAAAACAGCACTACACATTGTGCCAGTATCAAGTCTTCACGTTGTGATTATTGCTTAAGCTTTTATAGGGGTATTATCGTCACGGTACTGTGTTTTATTACAAAACAGGCTGAAATTTTGAAACTGTTGTTGTTCTTAACAAGTTTAAATTACTTTTTAAAACACCAAACTACCCTTTAAAGTAAGTAACTTTAAAAAGAACCATGAACATTTTAAAATCTATATAAACATTTGAATAAATACACAAATAATAATTAAAAAAAACATGAAATAAAAATAATAATAAAAAGAAATATAATTAATGGCAAGTTTTAGTTCATTTTTTCCACAATAAACATTTAAGAAAGTAAATAATCTAAAACATTAAATGAAAATGTTACATATTAAAAAATATATAGTTAAATGGTCATTATGATTTTAAAAAGTACAAATATTTAAAAGAAACTGCACTGGTCAAAAACTACTTTAAAGGGGTCATATGATGCTGCTAAAAAGAACGTTATTTTGTGTATTTGGTGTAATGAAATGTGTTTATGCAGTTTGAGGTTAAAAAAACACATTATTTTCCACATACTGTACATTATTGTTTCTCCTGTATGCCCCGCCTTTCTGAAACGCGTCAATTTTTACAAAGCTCATCAGTCTGAAAAAGCGAGGTGTGCTCTGATTGGCCAGCTATCCAGTGCGTTGTGATTGGCCGAATTCCTCAAGCATGTGACGGAAATGTTACGCCCCTCACCATATTGTGATGCCTGAGGCAAAAGCAGGCATTTTTTGGTCTTCCAAAAGAGGACGATATCCGCTTCATCATGCCTGGAGCTGATCCATGTTGGTCGCTGAGGAAATACATTAACTTCGCGCTGTGGATCGCCGGAGCACACCTCGCTTTTCAGACCGATGAGCTTTGTAAAAATCGACACGTTTCAGAAAGACGGGGCATAGAGGAGAAACAATAATGTACAGTATGTGGAAAAGAATGTGTTTTTGGAACCTTAAACTGCATAAACACAGTTCATTACACCAAATACACAAAATAATGTTCTTTTTAACAACATCATATGACCCCTTTAAATTAAAGATCACAAAGTAAATAAAAAAAACATTTAAATATAAAAATAGAATAAATCTAAATAAACATTGAAAAATAATCTTGAAAAAAAAAATTTATTAAATGGTCATTATGTCTGAAGCACAAATATTTAAAAGAAACTGCACTGGTCACAAACTACTTTGTAGTTCTTAATGTCAAGTTGTAAGTACTTTTTTAAACAATAAAATATCTTTTTAATAAAAAAAACAACCATGCATAATTAAGACACTATAGAACATTTAAATAAATATACAAATAAAAAAATGCATTAAATAGTATATATACACATTTCTAAATAAACATTTCATGGCCATGTGCAACAAAGGTCTTTAGCTTCTTGCAACTTCCTGTGGCTCCCGCCTTCCTCTACAGCCCCCAGTGCCCTCACCCCCAACCATGCCGCTTGGCAGAATATGGCAACAAAATTAGATCTGCTCTCTCCCCTCTCTCACATCTCTCACATCTTCTTCCCCGTCTTCCTCCCTCTCTCTACCCCTTTCTAACAAAGAGCTCAGTGCCGGGGCTGACAGAGGCCTGACAGAGGAATAAAGCAAAGGAATAGACGAGAAAAACACCACTCCAATCACTCTATTGTGACTGTAGTGGCAGCCATCGAGTGATTGGATAATTACCACGCCAATCACACAGAGGTCAAAGCAGATAGGGCCCCGGCAGGAGGGGCGGGTGTGGAGGGAAAGTGAACCTGTGGGGTTTTAATAGGTGTAATTTCAGTAGTGTTTTCAACCCCGGAGATTATACAGTCAGAGAAGGGATATGTGCTTTAGAGAGATGGGAGGAGGGAAGGGAGGCATGAGGGAGATGGACAAAAAACAGGGCAGTGATTGAGCCGGAACGTGACGCCAGCTCTTAGGCAATCGCACTTAATTGGAATGAAGAGCCACAATATTATTCATCAAGCGGGAGTCAAGAGCCAATTCGAACACACGCTGGATGATTGCGCAATGCACTTGAGCGAGAGAGAATTTGAACAGTGTCTCATTTGATTAAGGCCCATATAAACAAAAAAAGCAAAGGGAGCGAGACTGATAGAGAAACAGAGCCATCGAACAGTCAACTCTATAATTTCAAATTTGTTTTGCAATTTTTGTCACAAATTACTGATTGTGAATCACAGGCCTGTTAGTTACAGCATTTCTTATTCAATAAACACAGGCTCCAAAAAATAACACTTAAAAATGTATGAATTACACTGTATGAGAAAACAAACCAAGTGACATCTATGTAAACAAATTATACTAGAGAATTTCTCAGAACTGGTTTTAATAAAAACTGAAAATATATCTACTGTTTTACAATCTGCCTTTCTGTGAAATGTTTTGCTTCTAAAGTGTGTTTGTGGTTTAAAAATAAATGACCCGTTTCATATTTTGTTATAAAATATAAAGACAATCATAAAGTGTTGCATTTTGGTGACACTGAATATTTAGGGATAATGTTTGTCCTAATGGCAAAATAAATACTGACGCAAAGCTGGTGTCTTTTTCCATACTGATTAGCTAACTGTACATTATCTTATGTATTTATCCAATTTTTCAAATAAACAAAAATTTGAGATAGAATTACTTCAAGTAAGAAAAAAGACACCATGGCAAGAAATTAGAAAGATGTGAAGTAATTCTGTTACTTTGAAAAACAGTTGATGATATAGTACAGTTTTGCAGTTATTATAACAAATAGAGTTGACCACATAAAAAAAAGTTTAATCAATGCCTAATTTAAGAGTAGTTCATGAAATAAAAAAATAAAATAAATGAAAAAAAAAAACTTTTATTTAAAATATTCACTTAAAAAAAAAAAAGGAAACATTTCCAGCATTTGACTGTAAATGCTTTGCACTCCAGAGAAAACTTGATATATGTATTATATAAATATTATTACAATTTAAAGAACTGTTTTCTATTTTAACAAATTTCAAAATGTATTCGTGTGATGGCAAAGTTGAATTTTCAGTAGGCAATACTCCAGTCTTCAGCGTCACATTATCCTTCAGAAATCAATTTGCTGCTCAAAAAACATTTCTTTTTATTATCAAAGTTGAAAATATTTTAGTGTAAACCAGGATTCAAAGGAATTGTTTGTTTTTACTGTAACATTTGATCTATTTAATGCATCCTTGCTGAGAAAAGTATTAATTAATTTATTTTTCTCGCTGACTCCAAACATTTGAACTGTAATAAGGTCAGTAAACTCTAGCAAACAAAAAGGAAATATTTGCCCTAATCTTCACATGACATTGGAATATTCTCAGATTATTACAAAAGCAGCCAGCATTGAAAACAAACCCTAAACTCAACAGAACTTTTAAAGTGTTGTGTTTACTGACAAGGCCTGATGGAAGCAGAAATTCCTTGAACTTGATGTATTCAGAACGCCACGTGAATACGATGTGACACAGATGTTACGTTTCCCAGCCCCCCCAAAGCATAAGCAGCATAAAACCAGAAGACTTCTTCACAATTCCCATCAATATGAGATGAGTCGTCCACAACGGCAATTACCCCACCCCCTCCTTCAAAACCCAACCCCCCTTCTCCACTCTCGCCTAACTAAGCTCCCCAAAAAAGAATTAACCATGTTGAAGGCTTCATAATTTCCCCGGATACAATTTAGCTGTCAGTGGCGCTCAGGCTTACTGCAACATGTTCCTCTTAATGTCACTAACTTTGCATGTCAAGCACTTTCCAGCCAATTAAGTTGAAGGAGAATAAAAAAAAAGTGAATGCGAGTGCTTTGCGCGAGGAACCTGAAGGATTAGACAAGAAAGCTAATTTCATCCACCCCTCTTCTGAACCTCCACTTCTTGTGACACTCTCCCTACATCCCTGACTCCCATCTCTTTTGTTACCGAGATTGGCACCCATGTTATCACCCTTTCCACTTTTAAAGAGAACGACTGCTTTTTTTTATGTCTCTCTTCCTTTACACTGAAGTGTGTGTGTATGTTGGTAGTTAGAGAGGGTTAATGCTCAATGATTTGACTAAGAATCGAATACATCTATCAAACACAAAACTACAGAACAAAATGATGTTTAAATGTAAACAGTCCCGATTTAAACTTTCCAGAAACTGTCGTTCCTTACTATACATGCACATGACTCAGTTTAAAACAAACATCTGACAGACTTCGACATCCCCTCCCTCTTTTTTAGAGTTCCTGTCTCTCAAAAAATCCCTTCCACAAAAAAGTTCTGGCAATTCCCTTTGTTAGGCTCATTAGAGACTGAGGATACGGATCGGGAGCGGCGGCTGCTGTTGTCGTGGAGACGGGCTGATGGCTGTCAGAGTTAATCCCATAGAGAAGTGTTCATTAAGTCATTACAGTTGACATGCTGACGAGACACTGACACACACCGCTTTGTACTCTTTAGCGCAGCCCAGACCAAAGAGGAGACAGAGACGAGTGGAGAGAGAGATGGATGAGGGCAGAACAGAGAGAACGCTGGATTAAATAAAAGAGCCGTCGATAGCAGGGGTGCCAAACACATTTTAGGTCGAAGGCCGGATTGGACAAACATCACCTTATGTGGGTTGATTTTTTGGTCTATCGATGGTGTGTGTATGTATAACAAATCTGCATCATAAGTTCTGATTCAACTTCATGCTGCTTTGAGTAAAACCAAAGGAATTTAGTAGTAACATCATTTACCAATATCTTTTCTAAATACAAAATTACTGAAAAAAAAAAAAACTAACTAAATTTAATAAGTAAACTAAGTAAGTTTAGTAAGTAAATAAAGTAAGTTTAAATATTTAATAATCTTAAACAACAATAGAGTTTATATTACAACACAGGAAAATTGATAACTAAAAAAAATAAATTACTTTGATTAAAATTTTGCTTCCCAGTCAAACTCCAACAGTGC